CTCACTTGGTAGCCCAGGCTGGCCTCGAACTCACAGAGATCCGCCTGGCTCTGCCTCCCGAGTGCTGGGATTAAAGGCGTGCGCCACCAACGCCCGGCCTGGTTTTGGTTTTTTGAGACAGGATTTCTCTGTGCAGCCCTGGCTTTCCTGGAACTCACTCTGTAGACCAGGCTGGCCTGGAACTCGGAGATCCTCCTGCCTCCCAAGTGCTGGAATTAAAGGTGTACACCACTGCCGCCCAGCTAACAAATAAATCTTTTTTTTTCTTAAAACGGTAGACAAAATTAAAAACAGAACACAGGGCTGGTAAGTGGTCCCAGCATCAAGAATGCTTGGTTCACTTCATAGAGACAGAAAGATTAGACGTTATCTCAAGATGGAGAAGAAAGGAATATAGAGCAATGATTTCCTAAGTATAGAGTCTCTGTTTTGTGTGATGGAAAAGCCCCACAAACGGACAGTAGTATCAGGACATAATATCACGAATGTAATAAATCAATACAATTAATGTTATTATTTTTGTTTTGTGTTTTGTTTTTTGTTTTTTGAGACAGGGTTTCTCTGTGCATAAATGTAGTTATTGAGTGAAAAAAAATGCTTGCTGTTCAATCATGAGGAATAGAGTTCAGATCTCAGCTCCCACCTAACAAGTTGTGTCTGTAGCCGCAATCTTTGTGAAAGGCAGAGCCAGAAGGAACACTGGGGCTTGCTGGATTCCAGCTTAGCAGAGAGAAGGCGAACCCTTAATTCAAAAAGAGACCCTGCAAGGAATAGACAGAGTGACAGAGAAGGACGCCCCATGCCCTCTTCCGGTTTGGGCACAAGAACGACCAAAGATGTTCCAACCTGTCCTGTCTCTCCCTCCCCCAGCCTGGTTCCCACCATGAGTGCAGAGCTCAATGTGCCCATGGACCCCTCCAACCCTGCCTGCCCCGAGCCCGGCCACAAGGGCATGGATTACCGAGACTGGGTCCGACGCAGCTACCTGGAACTGGTCACTTCCAACCACCACTCGGTGCAGGCGCTGTCCTGGAGAAAGCTGTACCTGAGCAGGGCCAAGCTGAAAGCCTCCAGCCGGACCTCCGCCCTCCTCTCCGGCTTTGCCATGGTGAGTGCAGGGAGCCGAGGGAGGTGGTGGGGGATGGATGGACGGACGGACGGACGGATGTGGGGGGCGGACGGGCCCACAGTGGAAGGAGAGATCTGAGTATGGAAAGTCATCCTCTGACCTCCACGGTGCGTGTGGACCTGCACTCAGACATACACATTGGACACACACACACACACACACACACACACACACACACACACACTTGCATATACTCACATATACCACACCAAAAAAAAAAAAAATGGGGAGGGGGTGGATAGTCACTTGAGGAATAAATCCTGAGGGTCCTCTGTGGCCTCCACATGAACACACATATGAGCATGCTTGTGGGCACTCACACAGGGCACACACACACACACACACACACACACACACACACATACAAACAAACAAAACCCAAACAAATAAATAAAATAACTACACAGAGCCCGTCAGTGGAGGTGCACATCTTTAATCCCAGCACTCAAGAGGCAGAGGCAGGCGGATCCCTGTGAGTTCAAGGCCAGCCTGGGCTACAGAGTGAGTTCCAGGACAGCCATGGCTGTTATACAGAGAAACCCTGTCTGGAATAAACAAACAAACAAACAAACAAACAAACAGAATAGCTTCATGAGTAGGGTTTACTGGAAAATTTTGTGTTTTGTTTGCCCTGTCTCAGGCCTCACCCATGGGCTTGGGAATCCAGGCACTTGAGCGGGGACTCAGGGAACTCTGGCAGGTAGCCAGCCCAGCTGGAGTTGTAGACACGGGCCAAATGTGGCCTCCCCCTGGTGACAATGTGGCCGTGCTTCTGCCCTGGCTCCTGGCTGCCGCCATCTCTGAGTCATCCCAGGACAAAAGTCAGTTGAATCTGCCCCAAGGGACTCACAAGTCCCTGCCCCACGTTCCACCGGGAATGGGCGTGGAATCGGCATGGAGGACATGCCGTAAGGATTAAGCCCTCCCTCGCTCTCTGTGCTGGGGTCCCACTGGGTAGGAAGTGATTTGTTTCTTTAAGTCAAATAATAATTGTTTCCACAGCCTCTGTTACCATAAACAGCATCCCACGTGGGAAGCCCCTGCAGGGGAAGAACTTGCTTGGCTGTGAGTGGGCCACATTTGGGAGAGTGAGAACCCTGCTAGCCCGACACCAGACCACACAGGCTGGGGCAGAGACCTCCCACCTCTGAGCAATACTTGGAGTGTGGTTTTTTTTGTTGTTGTTTTGTTTGTTTTTCTTTCTGTGTTGTTTGTTTGTTACTGGAAACCGATTCTGGACCTTTTATTGTCTAGGGCATTTTTTTTTCTTTATTTTTATTTTTTATTTTCAGGCAGGGCCTCACTGTGTAGACAGGCTGTCCTTGAACTCACTATGTAGACCAAGCTGGCCTCCAGCTCAGATCCTCCCCCCTCTGCCTCCCTAGTGTTTGGATTAAAGGTACACACCACTCAGCTCCTTCTCTCTCCTCCCACCCCGTGTGTGTGTGTGTGTGTGTGTGTGTGTGTGTGTGTGTGTGTGTGTGTGTGTGGTGCTGAGGATGGAGCCCAGGGCCTTGTGTATGTCTGCCAGACAAGCACTGTACCCCTGAGCCACGCCTCCCCCAGACAGATGGTTCCCTTTCTCTGTGTGGCACAGGCTTGGCGCTCACTCCCATCAGCAGCTGTCGTGTTTGGATCCAGGCCTTGAGACCATTTGGCTTCCCAAACTTTGGAAGAATTTATAGCATCTCACCCAACAAAAACGCTCACCCAAACGAAAGCTTACGCCACTTGTGAGATTTCCAGACAGGTTCCGAGAATGATCGGACAGGGAGTGTGCATTCTGGAGACGGGGAGGGCGGTCTAGACTTCGGGGCAGTCTTGAGTACATTGACGGGGCCTGGAGGGGAAGCCTGGGGCATCCCGATGGCCCAGATAGCGCGTGGCCTCAGCGTGGCTATGGCCACTGTTCTTCATAGTAATAACTCACATCTACTGTGTTGGTGCGGTCCCTCCGGGACTGGTAGATACTTCTAGAAGCAACTTGGAGGTAACATTTAAGAAGCTTCCCAGTGTTCTTCTCTTCTCTTCTGGAAGTTTCCTCTAGTGGGCTGTTACAGCTCACCACGAAATGCCTGCGGGGAGGTGGAAAGCAACTTGAATGTTCAGACGCTGCAAGAGCAGGCAGAGACGTGTGCTGCCAAGTCCGATCGATGGGCCTGAGTTCGATCCTTGGAACCCACATTGTAGAAGATGAGAAGCGACCTGTGCAAGTTCTCCTCTGACCTCATGCACACAGGCAGGCACACACACACACACACACACACACACACACACACACACACACACACACAATCGTCGACGTCATCGTCACGGAGGATAGCTTAGACCTAGGAGGCACAGGCAGAGGACCCCCCTTGAGCGTCTTCCCCGCTTCCTCCCTCCCAGGCTGCTTCTTTGACAAGTCTGCTTTTAACCCTTTGCTCCCTGGGACAGGCTCCTCTGAGTCCTGGATCCCTGGCCAGCCTGAACTCCACCCTCCCGAGAGCAGCCCAGGGATGGTGCTGCTGACTGGATCTGTTCTGGATGTGGGGGATGTGTGAGAGGGACGTGCTTTAAGATCCCCCTGAGATATATGGAGGAGTGTCCCCGGATGACTGCAGATATCTGCCACCCGAAGAGCTGAGGCTCCAGGTCCCCTGTGTGTTCTGTGTGCCGGATTCATTTAGAGATCTTTTTGTTTGGTTTTGTTTGGTTTTTTGAGGCAGGGGTTCTCTGTGTAGCTTTGGAGCCTGTCCTGGAACTCACTCTGTAGCCCAGGCTGGTAGAAATCATTTTTAAAAAGCCAAGCCTGATGGCACATGCCTGTGATATCAGCAGTAAGGAAGTAGAAGCAGGGGGATTGGCACCTGGCCAGCCTGGTCTACAGAGTGAGTTCCAGGACAGCCAGGGCTACACAGAGAAACTATGTATAGAAAAACAAACAAACAAAACCAACAAAACAAATAGAATCCCCCAATGAGGGGCTGGGGTGTAGCTCAGTGGTAGAGCCCCTGCCTAGAATCCCCCAGTGAGGGGCTGGGGTGTGGCTCAGTGGTAGAGCACCTGCCTAGAATCCCCCAGTGAGGGACTGGGGTGTGGCTCAGTGGTAGAGCACCTGCCTAGAGTCCCCCAGTGAGGGGCTGGGGTGTGGCTCAGTGGTAGAGCACCTGCCTAGAATCCCCCAGTGAGGGGCTGGGGCGTGGCTCAGTGGTAGAACACTGCCTAGAATGCCCAGCCCTCGCTGCTGCCCCCCACTGATGGCCATGGTGGGTGCATCTGGCAGGCCACCTGACCCAGCCGCTCTTGTGCCCACAGGTAGCCATGGTGGAGGTGCAGCTGGAGACGCAGTACCAGTACCCGCAGCCCCTGCTCATCGCCTTCAGCGCCTGCACCACGGTGCTGGTGGCTGTGCACCTGTTCGCTCTGCTCATCAGCACGTGCATCCTGCCCAACGTGGAAGCCGTGAGCAACATCCACAACCTCAACTCCATCAGCGAGTCCCCACACGAGCGCATGCACCCTTACATTGAGCTGGCCTGGGGCTTCTCAACCGTCCTGGGCATCCTGCTCTTCCTGGCTGAGGTGGTACTGCTCTGCTGGATCAAGTTCCTCCCAGTGGATGCCTGGGCCCAGCCGGGCTCCGGTCGGTACACGGGCTGGCAGGCCGCGCTGGTGTCCACCATCATCATGGTACCCGTGGGCCTCATCTTCGTGGTCTTCACTATTCACTTCTACCGTTCCCTGGTGCGGCATAAGACCGAGCGCCACAACCGTGAGATCGAGGAGTTGCACAAGCTCAAAGTGCAGCTGGATGGGCACGAGAGAAGCCTACAGGTGGTGTGAGCGAGGCCGGCGCTGTTTGGCACAGCCTACAGGACAGTGACCCTCAGGCGGTGTTAGCCACCGCGCTGCTGGTAGGAGTAGCCAAGGGGCCGCCAGACCAACCCTGGCTTCATGAGAACCACCACTCCGGCGTCCCCAGAGCCACGGTGTGGATTGCTAAGCAGACATCACAGAAGCTGCCCCGCCTGATGCTTCCACACTCCTCAGAGGAAAAGAGTCTAAAGGAGAGGGAACACCAACCATTGTATCCCAGAGGCCAGAGGAAGAAACATGATCCCATGGCCCTGGGGACTTGCTGGATCAGGGACAAGCTGGAAACACCTTGTCCTGGGAAGGGGTCCCAGCACACCAGAGGTCACGGTAGAGCTCAGACATCTGGACCTTGTGATTGGCAGGGCAGGACTGAATTCCCAAGGCTGGCTGGAGGGCTGGGGCTCCCTCCGTTAGTCGCTTGCCTAGTGTGCAGGAAGCCCTGGGTTTGATCCTAGCACTGCATAAACCAGGTGTGATCAACCCAGTTCTAGGGAGGCGGAGGAAGGAGGATCAGGAGTTCGAAGTCGTCCTCCGCTACATAGTGAGTTTGAGGCTACATGAGACACTGTCAAACACACGCGCGTGCGTGCATGCCTGTGAAAACACACACACACACACACACACACACACACACACGCACGCACGCACGCACGCGTGCGCACACACACACTCACACACACACACACACATGCGCGCGCACGCGCACACAAGAATAGGCTTCCAGAGAGGGCAGAGGTGGACCCAGGGCTGGCAGAAGGGTACCATGGCTCGTAATGACACACAGAGATGTGGTGACTGATGTACAGTTGTACAGTTCAGCTTGGCCCTCTCCTCCAGCTCTGGAGAGTATCATGGGGATGTTCAGGATCCTGGGGCACACAGCAGCTCAACAAAGGTATCATACTGTTATTGGAATCTGGTCCTAGAGAGATGACCCAGTGTGGGAGGCCTGGCAGGGTTGAGGAGAAATGTCCTAGAGCCCACCACCACCAGCTCACTGAGGTCAGAGATGGACACACACACACACACACACACACACACACACACACACACACACACACCATGCAGCAGGCTCTCCCATTCAGAGGTGTCCACCTCTTAGCCACAAAATTGGCCTGAGCCAGCCACCCCTGTGGACTGTGTCAACACCATCTGGGGCACCATCTCAGAGACCAGCCAGCTCAGCTCCCTGCTGCCTGTGGCCCCTAGATGTTGTTGAGAGGATAACCGGAAGGGACTTCCTGTTTTAGCGTGGTGGTGAGCCCGGCCTGGCCTGTGGCTGGGGCAGGGGCCTAACCTAGGCCGATATTCCTCATGCTAAGCCCCGTCCACTGCAGAGAAGAGGGGACCTCACCACCCTGCCGCTGGTCCCGCAGGGACGCTCAGTGCAGGTCCCTGCGGCCCACGCGTTTGCACAGCTGTGCATGGGTTTGGCATTGTCCCGACGGGCATCTGGCCGACCAGCTGGTGTTTTCATCCATACCCTGCAGTACAGCAGCAGCCTGCGTGGGAACTGCGGGGACACCATGTTTACCCATTTCTGCAGCGTTACCCAGAGAAGGCGTCCATCTCTTCCTCTGGATGTAAATGGCCACTGGGCTCCTGCAAGTACCACTTCCGTTTCCTACCAGAGCTCGTCTCTGGAGCCTCGATTTGGTGCTGTGGGATCCGGGAGGGCCCGTCTGCAGTTTCTGGAAATGGGTCACACTGTGGAGCGTAAACTTCAACACACGGAGCCCCAGGGAGCCTTGTGGAGAATCTTCCTTGTGAACTGTGACATCTTTGGGGAAGTAGGACATGGTGTCCTGTGAACCAAGAACGTGCCCTCTGTCTTTCAAAGGTGTGTCCTTCAACACCCTTCCTCAAGACAGCTGTCTTGAGACCCCTTGAGGTCTCAGACCTCTGTGCTTTCCTGGCGTCTTTGGGAAGGCCAGCTTAGTTTGATTTGTTTGTTTTGCTGAAGAACGCTAGAATCATGGGTGGGCAAGATGGCGCAGTGGGTAAAGGCGCTTGCCACCAAGCCTGGAGATGTGAGTTCAGTCCCCATCCTCTGACCTACACACAGAAAAGCCTAGTAAGAAAAATAATTGAATATTAGAATCACTCTAAGACAGGACATGTGTCCCAGCACAGAAAAGACAAGATGGTCTTTTGGAATGAGCATCTCCCGCTGCTGGGCACCATTTGAAACACCGTGTTGAAGGCTGAGGATGTAGCGCAGTTTGTAGTGTTTGCCTGGCATACGTGAAGCCCTGGTTTGATCTCAAACCACATAAACCAAACATGGCGGGATACATCTGTAATCCCAGCATTCAGGAGGTGAAGGCTGGAGGGTCAGGCGTTCAAGACCAGCCTAGACGGGTCAGACTCCATATCAAAAAGTTGGGAGGGGGGAGAAAGGGGAGCCTGCAGATGGCTCAGTGGTTAGGAACACCTACTGCTCTTGCAGAGGACCAGAGTTCAGTTCCCAGCATGCACATAGGGCAGCTCACAACTGTCTGTAACTCAAGTTCCAGAGGATCCAGTGCCCTCTTCTGGCCTCTGCAGGCACCCACATGGGTACATATTCACACATACAAAATAAAAAGAGGGGGTTCCTGTTGGACATTGGGCCTGTTCTTTCCGCCCATTTTCTGAGACCATTTGGTGCCTCAGCTCTTGGAATGCCCGGCACTTAATGCTCTGTATAAGTCCTGTAGTTCCTCAGGCTCTCGCATTTAGTCTTCCCAGTGCCAAAGCATGGGACAGCCATCGGTGTGTAAACAGAGGTGACGGCATGGGACAGGCATTGGTGTGTGAACAGAGGTGACTGCCCATGGGGTCCCCAGCGGGCAGGAGTCGCAGGGCCGTCTCGGAGCTTTGTCAGGAGTTGGGGGATGAGCCCTCACTGTGCATGGGGTCAGAAGCCAGCAGGGCAGGCTGAGGGCTGGAAGTTGGCTTTCTGGAGGCATAACCTGATTTCAAATCTCGTTCTAACCAGTCACGTGGCTAGAACCACAGTGGGGCCCCTGGGGCCTGCACAGGCTTGCCCTAATTTCATCTGTCCAAGATGCAGTCCTTTCTGGTGCTCAAGGGACCAGAGTCCTCAGACACACCATGACCCTTCCCAACTCGGCATACGGTCTCCCCGTACCCTTGACCGCAAAGTCTCCAAGTTCAGGCGTTTCTAGTTAAGAAACTTCAAAGGCAGAACGTGATTCGTGTCTTCCAGGAAGGTCTACTGAGAACAAACTACAGGAGCCCAGAGGGCTCAAGACTCACTCTGTGTCACTCTATCTGCAAGACACTGTAGCTAACGCCTGTCCTGTGTGGGGCAGTTGCTCTGGATTGAACTGAATAAATGGATAAAGCTTTTCAAAACCCTGTGCTTTTGAGAAGTATGTTCAGGGGGTCCATCCCAGTGCCTTGCTACACCGCTGACCCTCAGTCCTGGCATGAGAGCCCTTTACCTGGAGTCTGTGCATCGCCCCCCCCCCAAGACAGGGTTTCTCTGTGTAGCTTTGGAGACTTTCATGGAAATCGCTCTGTAGACCAGGCTGGTTTTGAACTCACAGAGATCCGCCTGCCTCTGCCTCCCGAGAGCTGGGATGATTAAAGGTGTGCGCCACCACCGCCCGGCCTATGCATCGTCTTTTATTGCTGGGCATGCTCAGGGGCAGGGTGAGCATGGGGCCTTCTAGGATGGGCAGGCAGGCTGCTGGGACCCAGGCATACATTGAGTGAGGTCCCTGTCAACTGGACCCCTGAGAGAGCCTCACACTTGGCAGTGGTACCTCTTCCTCGCTTCCTTTCTGAAGGGGGAGGGGAGACAGGCCCCATGTGGGGGGCTGAGCTCACCAGAACCCATCTGGACAAGGTCAGCTAGATTTCACAGGCTTCTAGAAGAGGAGCCCCTGAGGTGGTCCTTGGGTCCCTATGGCTCTGGAGCCACTACCCAGGTCACCCATTGGGGTCACCATCCAACAGGACACTCTGTCTGGAGAAGTTACACAGAGGTCCTTCCTAGGAAAGATTTTTTTTTCTTTTCGGGGTGTGTGTGTGTGCATGCAAGTATACCTGCTGTGGAAGCTGGAGGTCAACTTCTGGTGCCTCCTTGGACATTTTCTTTGGTTGAGACACAGTGTCCGACTTGACTGGGAACTTGGCAGTTAGCTGTGGTGATACATTGTGTATGCTAATAAACTTGCCTGAGGATCAGAGGACAGAGCCAGCCACTAGGCACCAGGCCGGGCTGGGGAGAACCGTTTTATTACATATGCATGGAGGGGCCACACAGGTAATAACTCATTCAAGCCTCCATCCTCAGGGCCCCACCACATACAAGACAATCTTTTATAGTTTGGCCATACCCCAGCCCCTCAGTGGGGGACTCTAGGTAGGTGCTCCACCACTGAGCCACACCCCAGCCCCTCACTGGGGGATTCTAGGCAGGGGCTCCACCACTGACCACACCCCAGCCCTCATCATCCTCTGTATCAGAGGATTCAGGGCTGCAGTCATGATAGGTCTGGAAGTCTGTTCACTCCGTTGGGCCCTAGGCTCACCTAATCGGTAGGGAACCAAGCTGCTTCTCCCAGGGCCTTTCCAGAGCTCTCTTCAGGCTTGGCTGGCGACTAAGCCCCTGGTACAGACTTCCTAGATAGTCCCCAGCTCTCAGCTAGTTCTCAGAGGTATCAGAAAGAACAGAGCTATTGGGACTGAAGAGATGGCTCCATGGTTAAGAGAACTGGCTGCCCCTCCAGAGGAGCCAGGGTTTGATTCCCAGCACCCACAAGGACGCTCACAAGTCTGTAACTCCAGGTCCAGGGAATCCAATGCCTCTTCTGGGCCTGTGGGTCGTGCACACATATGGTACAGAGACAATATATGCATGCAAAAACACACATAAAATATAATTTCTAAAATAAGAATTAAAACAGAGGCTGGGAGTTGAGCTCAGTCAGTAGAGAACTTGGCCTACAAGCATGAAGACCTGCATTCAATTGCCAGAGCCCAGAGCTGGATATGGGGGGAGGTGGAACTCCAGAGCTGGGGATGAGGAGACAGGCGGGTCCCCGTGCTCATGCCAGCCAGCTCAGCCTACCTGGAGAGTTCCAGACAAATGAGAGACCCTGTTTTACAAACAAAATGTGTGGTACCTGAACAATGGTAGGGCTATTGGCATGGCTCAGATGGCGGAGGTCTTTGCTGCCAAGGTTAATGACCCGGGTTCAAGCCCCAGAACCAACACAGAGAAAGGAGAAAACTGACGTCCTCCAACAGTCCTCTGACCTGTGCACACCACACACACACACCACGATAAATAAATGAATGTAGCAGGATGGTGGTGGCGCACACCTCTAATCCCAGTGCTCGGGAGGCAGAGGCAGGTGGATCTCCAAGTTCAAGGTCAGCCTGCTACAGAGTGAGCTCCAGGACAGCCTGGGCTACACAGAGAAACCCTGTCTCAAAAAACCAAAATAATAATAATAATAATAATAATAATAATAATAATAATAATGTAATAAGGAACCAGAATTGTTGACCTCTAGCCTCCAAGTAACACACACAGCTAATGCAGGTGTACCCACACACATGTGGCAACCTGTACAATGCCTCAAAAGTTGGTATCATAAAAACAAACCAACCCAGGGCTGACTGTGACCCTTTCCTGGGGGTGTGGGATGGTGTGTTCTGCCTCCAGAGCCTCAGGATAGAGGGTTGTCATGTCGGCCAGCCACACACCTCCATCATCCACCTTGGCCCGTCTGTCTTCTCTCCTCCACAGAAGGTCTATGGCTGAGCAGAGTGTGCCCTGCTCAGAAATTTCTTCTTTTTTCTTTCTTTCTTTTTTGGTTTTTAGTTTTTTGGTTTCTCTGTGCAGCCCTGGCTGTCCTGTATTTCACTCTGCAGACCAGGCTGGTTTAGAACTCCGAGATCTGCCTGTCTCTGCCTCCCAAGTAGTGGGATTAAAGTGTGCACCACCACCACCCAATGTGTCCTACTCGTATAAATAAATAAACAAATAAATAAATGTAATTAAAAGGATTAAGTTTGATCCCTGGGACCTGCATGGTCAAATTTGAGAGTTTGAGACTAGCCTGGGCTACAAATGGAGAGCTTATCTCAAAAAAAAAAAAAAAAAAGGAAAAAGGGTTGGGCATGGTGGAATGGTGCCTATCTTTAATCCCAGCACTTACACAGAGGCAGAAGAACCTCTGAGTTCATGGCCAGCCTGGTCTAGAAAGTTCCAAGCCAGCCAAGACTACACAGTGAGACCCTGCCTTAAAACAAAGCATGTAACTGCAACCCCTTCACACAGAGCTGGGGAAAGGAGAAAACCGTCTCACATGAGAACAGGGTTTTCCTTTTTCTCCTTTATTATAAATTTTATCGGAGAGGTAATGTGTATGTGGAGGCCAAAGGACAACTTGCAGGAATTGGCCCTCCCTCCACCACGTAGATTCCAAAGACTGAGGCAGGCGGTCAGGTTTGGTGGCAAGTGCCTTTTACCCACTCAGACATCTTGCTTCTCCCAAAACTACAGTTTTAAAAAGATTGAATCCCTCCAAACTATGACAAATTAAATAACCCAACGAGCAGCCAAGATCCAGGCCCATCAGAACCAGCTCCGGGCAGGCTATGTGATGCTCAGGGCATCAGGGGTCACACGGCTCCTCAGAACACCTGGCCACTGGGCTGTCATCCCAGCACTTGGGAGGCCGAGGAAGCAGGATGGCGAGTTCAAAGCCAGGCTGCATCCTGAGTTCCAGGCCCATCCGGTCCACATGAGACCTTGTCTCAAAGACCCCAACAGAGTCGGTAGTTGGCAGAAGACTTGCTTAGCAAGCAGGAAGCCCTGGGTTCCATCCCAGTACCTAAAAAAGAAACCTGAGCCAAATCCCAGCATTCAGGAGGTAGAGGCAGGAGGATCAGGAGTTCAAAGTCATCCTCGGCAATATAGGGAGCTCAAGGCCAGTCTAGGCCCGGCAGTGGTGGCGCACGCCTTTAATCCCAGCACCCGGGAGGCAGAGGCAGGCGGATCTCTGTGAGTTCGAGGCCAGCCTGGTCTGCAGAGCGAGATCCAGGACAGCAAACCAATGAATCTATTGAGCTGTGGAGAGACCTCAGGGCTCGCTCCCCATGGTCGTGCTGGAGCCATGTTTGCAGCCGGCCAGGCCAGCTCTTGTGCCCAGGAATGGTGCTCACACGGGCCTCCCCTGGAAGGAGAGCGCGGCCTGCAGCAGCTCCTGTCCCAGGTCCTGCCGCTTCCCTCCAGGCAGGAACTCGCTGGACAGCTCTCTGAAGGTGGCGCAGACACGCCGGGCCTGGATGTGTCTGCGGTGGATGGCGTGTGTCCACTGGTGCCGAGCGGCTCCTGTGAGCACCAGCAGGGAGCGGCAGGGTACCGAGATGGCCACTTCCACCTCCTGGCTGGGGACAGACCTGCCTTCCAAAGCATCCGGTCCGATGGAGGGGGCCGAGCTGAGCAGGAGGCTGCCGGGGGCGTCCCGGGACATGGACACCACAGTGGCCGACAGGAGGTTGAGGCTCACCAGCCGCTCGCCCCACAGCCAGGCGTCATCCAGGTGGGGGTCGATGGCCGAGCCCCGCTCTGGGCTGTAGTCCAGGTTACACTGTTCCACAGGCCGGAAGTCCTCCAGCCCCGGGTAGAGGCCCATTCTCTGGACCACCATCTGGCTGAAGCTGGGGAGACCCTGGAAGCCCGCAATCTTCAGCTTCTGCTTCCGAAAATTGACTTTTGGGCCATAGTCCTGGAGTGGAGACAGGAAGGAACGGAGAAGGGGCTCAGTTTAAGAAATGCCAACTGCTGCTGGACGGTGGTGGCGCACGCCTTTAATCCCAGCACTCGGGAGGCAGAGGCAGGCGGATCTTTGTGAGTTCGAGGCCAGCCTCCTCTCTAGAGGGAGTTCCAGGAGAGGTTCCAAAGTTACACAGAGAAACCCTGTCTTGAAAAACTGGAAAAGAGAAAAGAAATGCCAACCACAACCAGGGTGTGGCTGGTGCCTGCATGTAATTCCAGCACCTCAGAAGCTCAGGTAGGAAAACTGTCTAGAGTTCAAGGCCAGCTGGGCTACAGAGTGAGACCTTGTCTTGAAGGAAAAGAGAGAGAGGAAAAAAAAAAAAAAAGCCAGTGTAGCAGGGCCTACAATCCCAGCATTGTGAGTGGAGGCAGGGGGATCAGAAGTTCACCTACACAGCAAGTTTAGGAACAGCCTGGGTTCTAGGAGACAGTGTTGGGGGAGGGGCCTCTTGGAGGGAGAAGGGACAGGTGGGTTCAAGGTCCCCACAGAAGCCGTAGTGTCTGTCCTGTGGGTCGGGGGCAGAGTGAGCGCCTGGGGTGGACCCAGCATGGGGAGAAACTTGAAGGGACCTCCAGCTGGCTGCCATCGCCAGGGCTCTAACCAAACGCGGATGCCAGGAACACAGGGTGAAGGTGCCTTTGCAGCCCCTGGAGGAACTGACGAAATTGTGGAAGGTGGGTGAGGGGGAGCTAGTGAGGAAGGGGAGGAAGAGGAGGAGAGGTACACGGCCCCTAAGGGCCTATCAGGAGCCCTGACACAGGAGACAGGTGGTGGCTGGTGGTAGCCCTGCAGGATGGCGATCTCATCTAGAACTTACCATCATCTCCCAGGCATGGAGACAGCAGCGGACGAGGAACACCAAGCAGACGTGGCGGCCCTGCTGGATGAGGAAGCCCACGACCCCTGTGACTGGCCACCCATTCCCTACCAAAGAGTGTGGTGACATGCTGTGTACTCCAATAAAGCTTGCCGGAGGATCAGAGGACAGAGCCAGCCACTACATTGGACATAGAGGCCAGAGAGTGGTGCACACATCCTTAATCCTATCACTCTGGAGGCAGAGATCCCTCTGGATCTCTGTGAGTTCAAGACCACACTGCAAACAGCCAGGCAGTGGTGGCACATGCCTTTAATCCCAGGAAGTGACGGCAGGGCAGAGAAAGGTACAGAAGGAAACAGGAACTAAAGCAGTTCAGCTGAGACCCTTTCGGGTGAGGACTCAGAGGCTTTCAGTCTGAGGATTTGTGGAGTTGGTGATGTAATAGGTGGCGGCTGTGGCCTGCTCTGCTTCCCTGATCTTTCAGCTTTCACCCCAACATCTGGCTCTGGGTTTTTTATTAAAAGAACATTTAACATTCAACATTTGAACAACAAAAGATCCCTAGGGTGTGGCCACGAGACAGCCAGGGGCCCCTGGCAAAGGGACTGCCCCCTGGGCCCGGCTAGGGCCACCATACCTGTTTCCTTCGTCCGGATTGAGAGAGCTTCCAAGGGTCACTGTCCATCAGACGCACCATCTCAGCCTCTTCCTCCGGGGTCACAAAGTCCGTTATCAATGTCACCCCCGGGAAGGGGAAGGCCCAACCTTCCAAGTCAGAGTCCTTGGGCCCCATAGCCCAGCCTGTGTCCGGGCAGTAACGGAAACAGTATTTTTTCTGTAAAAGACAGAGACGGGATGGTGTGATGGGTCAGGGGGTGAAGTGCTCACTTGGCAAGCACAAGGATCCGAGTTTGATTCCCCCCAAAACCCACGTGAAAAAAGCTAGGTGCAGTCACGCATGCTTGCAATCCCAGAAGGGGGGGGGCGGCGAGAAGCAGAGATGAGATCAAGGACAAGCTGGCCTGGCCTACTTGGCAAGTTCTAGGCTAGTCAGAGACCCTGTCTCAAAAAACAAGTTGGGGGGGGTGGGCGGCTGGAGAGATGGTTCAGCGATTAAGAGCCCTGGCTGCTCTTCCAGAGGACCCAGGTTCAATTCCCAGCACCCACATGGCAGCTCACAACTGTCTGTAACTCCAGTTCCAGGGGATTCGACACCTTTACACAGGCATGCGTTCAGACAAAACACTGATGCACATAAATTATTAAAGAAAAAAACAAGTTGGGTGTTGAGGTGGTTCTCTGGTCTCCATGTGTACACATGTACCTGTACACACATACCCCAAACAGAAGCATCTGGAACCACCAAAGAGCCACAATACCCACATGTGCCTTAGGCCACCAGGATCTTCTGACCTCGGGTGCCTTTTGTTGGGACTGAAGCCACAAGAGGTGTCTGGAATCGTACCACTAGCCACATCCCAAGCTCCTTCACTGGGGCATCCTTCAAGTTCATCTTTTTTTCCAAATTACGTTTTTATGCATGCATTTGTGTGTGGCGATGTACATGTGAATGCAGGTGCCCTTAGAGGCCAGAAGAGAGCTCCAGATCCCTTTGGAGCTAGAGTTATAAAGGTGGTTGTGATCTACCTGATTTGGGTGCTGGGAGCCAAACTTAGGTCCTCTGCAAGAGCAGAATGTGTTCTTAACTGTTGAGCCATCTCTCCTGTTCCTCAATGGGGGATCCTAGGCAGGTGCTCTACCACTGAGCCACACCCCAGCCCCTCACTGGGGGATTCTAGGCAGGTGCTCTACCACTGAGCCACACCCCAGCCCCTCACTCGGGGATTCTAGGTAAGCACTCTCCACTGATCCACACCCCCAGCCAGTGATTAGCTTCTTTCATTTAGTATCATATCCTCAAGGTTAATCCATGTGTAACTTTGTCAGAACTTTCTTCCTTTCTAAGGTTATAAAATAACCTACTGTATAGATATCCCAGATTTTTTTTTTTTATTCATTCATCAGCTTATTGTGTGTAGTGGGTAGCCAAGCTGGAATGGCTACTCACTACAATTGTGTGTCTCTGTCTTTCCTTTGTTCTTTGGAGACATGGTCTTATTTAGCTTAGTCTGGTTTTAAACTTGCTAAGTAGCTGTGGCTATCTTTGAACTCCCAAGTCTCCTGCTTCTGGCTCCCAGATCCCCAGTTCTGAGATCACAGGCCAGCACCACACGGTCTACTCTTCAAGTCACCAGTTAATAAATACTTGGTCTGGGCAGTGGTGGCGCACACCTTTAATCCAGCACTCGGGAGGCAGAGGCAAGCGGATCTCTGTGAGTTCAAGGTCAGCCTGGTCTACAGAGTGAGTTCTAGGACAGGCACCAAAACTACACAGAGAAACCCTGTTTAGAAAACAAAAAAACAAAAAAGAAACAAACAAATACTTAGGTAGCATTCACCCTTTGGATGCTGTGAATACTGCTATGAGCCAGACATGATGACACTTGCTGGTAATCTAAGCATTTGGAAGGGGGGTGGAGGGCACCTGGACCTCTAACCAAAGAAAGAAACTAAAACAAAAACCCTATCTTTTGCTTATAAACCCAGGTACATGCTGGATCATGTGATCAATCTATTCGTGAGGCATTCCACACCATTTTCCACAAGATGTTGGGCATGTTAGCACCAACAGAGAGACTCCTCCATTGGCTTTACAGCTTCCTTGCTCAAAGATCCTTTTAAAACTTGAATTTAAGGCAGTTCTTTTAAAACCCTTCAGGGCCGGGCAGTGGTGGCGCACGCCTTTAATCCCAGCACTTGGGAGGCAGAGGCAGGCGGATCTCCAGCCTGGTCTACAGAGTGAGATCCAGGACAGCCAAAGGTACACAGAAAAAACCTGTTCAAGTATTACGTCCAAGTTTGTCACCACTCCCCACTTAGAGTCACAGAGGTGATGTGTCACAGCCGCTTCCCTACTTCCAAGACCAACTCCTCAAACTTGCTGTGTGGCGAGATTGGCTCTTTGCATTTCAAACGCAGGAATCCCGACCTGCAATAGCACTCCTCGCTCAGCCATTCATTTTCAGGTGGCACTTTAGGGACCGTCCGCCTTTTGATTACTGTGACCAAGAAAGCTATGAGCGCTCCATGCAACTCCCCTACCGCGAGGCTCTGATCCCCGCCCGTTTCACAGGCAAGCTTGGGCCTCAGTTTCCCATTAAGAGGGATAGATTTTCTGGGTTTGACTCTTTTTCCATCTCTTACCTGAGGGGAGAGCTGCCAGGGCGGGGACCCGTGGCGCTGTCTCTCGCAAATAAGACAGGTCCGGATGCCCTTGCAGCCGCAAACCTGCAAATGAGTGGCTTCAGCCGCTGCAGCCGCGGCCGCGGCAGCCGCCATAGCACCTTCCAAGTAGTCAGGGCGCAGGCGCGAGGCACGGGGGCCGCTGGGAGTTGTAGTCCTCGCACGCAGAGGCAGGAGGCCGGGCGCGCGGCAGGCGTTGTGCTTCCTTCCGGTCGCCACGGGCTCTAAAAGGCTTTGCTGTGCGCCATCTCCTGGGCTCCGCGGCTGCGGGCGGGCGTTAGTGACCGGACTTGGTGGAGGCGCGGGTTCGGCTGAGCCCTCGGACACCCATGGCTCCCCTCACTCAGCGGCTGCTCTTTCAACGCGGGCGACCCAAGACCAACAGTCTGGGGAAGATCCGGAGTCTGGAGTAAGCGCTGGCGGGGTTGAAGCGGGTCCCGGGCGCGGGGTCCTGCGGGGTCCCTTCCCTTCCCGGGTCGGCTGGTGGGCGGGGTCCGTGGCTCAGACCCCTCCCCATCCCCGCCTCATCCCCGCCTGTCCAGGTTATTCCCATAGCGGGGATTCGGGCCCCGGTCGAGCCTGAGTGTCTCGCGCCTAACGGAGATGCGGGAGATACGGGCAGGAGTCAGGGGGACCTGGATCGGGCTCCCTTAGCCCCGCGGAGGGTGGAAAGACTGTAGAGCACTCGCTGGGGTGTTGAGCAAGCCCGGGGAGCACGGAAGGAGCCGACAGGAACGAGGAAAAGCATTCAAGAGGGAACTTGGAGGCCTTAGGTTCTAAAGTCGTTAGGAGATCTAGCACTCGAGGACCCGTCGCAAGACAAACGTCGGACGTTGGAAGCTAGCCTGAGCTACAGGACCCTGTCTCTAAAAAAACTTTTTTTTGGTTTTTCGAGACAGGGTCCCTCTGTGTAACAGTCCTGGTTGTCCTGGAACTCGCTTTGTAAACCAGGCTGGCCTCAAACTCACAGCCTCTGCCTCTGCCTCCCAAAGTACTGGGATTAAAGGTGTGCACTACCATGCCCAGTAACAAAAGATTCTTCAAAGGAGGGAAGTCGGGCCAGAGAAATGGCCCCTCGGGTAATGGTGCCTGTCACCATGCCTGAGTTCAATCCCTTGGGCCCAGACAGTTGAGAAGGAGAGAACCAGTTCCCTAATTCTGACCTTCTTACCCACACCTTGGACTGTGCCCATCCATACACACATGCACAGACACGTTATAATAAATAAAAATGTAATTTTAAAAATGGGGGCTAGAGCTGCAATTCGTAGGATGCTTGTCCGACATGCACAAAGCTGGAGTCTCCACAGGGTTCCATCCCTGTCACCACCTGAACTGCTCCCGAGTGGTGGGTGGCACACACCTGTCATCCCAACACTTGGAGATAAGAGGCAGGAGAGTAAGTTCAAGGCTTTCCTGGACTACACAGTGAGTTGTGGGTTGGATCTCTTTTGAGTTTTGAGGCCTGCCTAGTCTACGTAGCGAGTTCCAGGCTAGCCAAGTCTAAAGGTAAGCCCATGCTTACTCTACACCATAAGAAATTGCTGGGTGCAAGCAAACCCCTCTGGGGCAGATGGGGGTTAGTGAAAGGGTCTGCCCAGCCTTCTGAGCTTTCCTGATCTCTGCCCTCACCACAGTCTCTCGGGGCTGGAGCTGCAGTCAGAGCACTTGGACCCCAATCTCCTGGGGCGCCTGAAGCAGCTGAAGGAACTTGACCTCTCCAACAACCTGCTGGAGACGCTGCCTGCCAACCTGGGCCTGTCCCATCTGCGCATCCTTCGCTGCGCCAACAACCAGCTGGGGGACGTCACTGCCCTGCACCAGTTTCCGGACCTCGAGGAGCTCAGCCTGGAAGGCAACCCCTTCCTGACGGTGAGAGGGAGGTCCAAGCAGCTCCATGCTAAGGACCAGGACTGGGGCAGACTCAGGCTTCGCTGTTTCTTTTGGGTTTTGTTTTGTTTGAGGTGGGGTCTCATGTAGCCCAGGCTGGTTTCAAACTAACTGTGTAGCCAAGGATGGCCTTGAGCTTCTGATTCTCCTGCCTCTGAGTTCCTCAGTTTTGGCCATGCTCCGCCAGGCCTGGTTTATGCAGTGCTGGGGTTCAAACTCACGGCTTTGTGCATGCTATGAAAGCAGTCTCTCGTCTGGGCTATGTACCCACTCTGTCTGGGTTTTTGTTGCTAGTCTGAGACAAAGTTTTGCTTTGTACCCAGACCAGTCTCCACCTCTGTGTATCCCAGGCTGGCATCAAACCTGAAACATCCCTACCATACTCACCCTGAATATTGGGATTACAGGCATGGGCCACTACTCCTGGCTTTCACTTATTCCTCCGTCCTTTAGGTCAACGACAACCTGAAAGTCTCCTTTCTCCTGCCCAAGCTACGCAAGGTCAACGGCAAGGATGCGGCCTCCACCTGCTCACAGGTGGAGAACCTAAATCGGGAGCTGACCAACAGGGTGAGCATGATGGGAAGTGGATGGAAGGGGGGGGTCCTTGGTCACGTCAGCAGGGTATTGAGAAGTGGATTTTCGGGGGTGTGTAACAGAGCTCTTACCCTGACAGCCTCGAGTCTGGTGTGGTGAGTTTGGATCTGTTGCTTCCTGTGTTTGGAGGCCCTGTCTCTGAGGTGCACACCAGGGAGGCTAGAACTTTGCAGTGAGCTGGTTTTTTAAGACGGGGTCTTGCTGCATAGCCCAGATGGCCTAGGACTCTTCTGCCTCCGCCTCCCAAGTGTTGGGGTTCCCACTCTGCCCAGCTGAACCAGGCTGGTTTCAATTCATGTGACTTAGGTTATGCTAGTAGAGAGTAAGAGACTGTGCCTGCAGAAGCTTCCAGAAGCTAGGATAGCCAACACTCGCTGTGCTCCGAAGGAGATGGGGTGGAGGTGCTGCTGTGTATGGCCAGGAGACCCAGGCTGGGCCGGTCTGGATCTGGTCCCTCTTATGCCAGGTCACAGCTCTCTGGGAGAAGTTCATGGCCACCGTGCGCCCTGAAGAGGAAGCTGACAAATCCCAAGCTGACTTCGTGAGGTCTGCCGTCAGGGATGTGCATTATGGCCCCGAGTCTCTCAGCGAGTTCACCCAGTGGCGGGTATGCCACTGGCGAGGGGACGCTGTGCTGGGGGTTGGTGGCTTCCCTGGCTCTGATGGATTGGGGGACAGTGGTGTCAGGGGAGAGGCGAAGGGCACTGAGACCGCTCAGCTGAAGGCCTGGCCCCACCCAGGTGCGGATGATCGCCGAGAAACTGGTGGCCTCAGGTGGGGCCGAGGTCCAGGAAGCAGATGAACCAAAGGCGCCTCCACAGGCTGCAGCTGTCTCCAAGCTCAGGGTGAGTGTGTTTGCACCCGGCTGTGAGGGCCCCGGGCCTTTGTGAGCTAGAACACAGAGGCTCTTCTCCATGAACTCAGGTGATGTCCAAGTGTGTGCGTCAGCCTTCCCTAGCTGTGGCAACATACTGGAAGTAGTCAGCTTACAGGAAGGAAGGGGTAGTTTTGTTTATGGGCTCAGTCCATAGTTGCTTGGCTCCAAGACTGTCCATATTGTGAGTTCACATAGCAAGGATGTCTGAATCTCATGACAGCAAATGTCCCTTTGAAAGGGGTGCCTCCCAGTGACCTACGTCCCTTCACCTACGCCGTACTCCTGAGTAGCCCCATAGGCTGGTGACGCAGCTTTTTAACCTTTGGGCCCTTGGAGACCATTTCAAGTGTCCAGCCCTAACACAGGCCAAGTCCCCCCAATGACAGTGGCTCAGTTCTTGCTTTCCATATTTTTGAGGGTGTAGTTCAGCCTGTAGCCAAGGGAGGCAGCCCCTGGGGCATGGACACAAGTCCCTAACTTTCCACAGGCCAGAAAGGTGGCCTCAAAACGGCCAGATAATTTCCCACTAGATCTCCCTTCCACCAAGCGAGTGTGTTCCTCCCCACCGCCTCAGACGGAGGCCAGACCTGTGGACTTGGATGGAGGCCAGGTAAGCTCCCCACATGGCGGGGGGGAGAGTGCCAGAGGGAGCAGGCCAAGGGGCAGCTGTGACCCCCTCTCCTCCACAGGCTGCCCTCTGCCTGGAGCCCCTGCATTTCCTGCAATGTCACAGCAGAAACAACAGCCCTAAGGACCTGGAGACCCAGCTGTGGTGCTGCGCCTTCGAGCCGGCCCGGGAGGAGGGTGCGTGCTGGGGCCGATGGGCGGTGGGAGGCTCGGGTCACACAGGGGTGCTCAGTGCTCAGTGCTCAGTGGCAGCCTGAGATGAAAAGATCCCTGGGAAATTCAATGAGATTGGTCTCAGGGTAGGAAGAAAGGGCTGAAAGTGGGCGGTAGGCGCACGCCTTTAATCCCAGCATCCTGGAGACAGAGGCAGGAGGGTCTTTGTGAGTTCGAGGCCAGCTTAGTGTACAGAGCGAGATCCAGGACAGCCAAGGCTATGCAGAGAAACCCTGTCTCAAAAACAAAAAAAAAAAAAAGGGCAGGAGAGACGCTCCCTGGCTAAGATTGCTTGCTGCTCTTGTAGAGGACTGAAGTTTGATTCCTAGCATCTACCATGGGCTGCTCACGCTGCCAGTAACACCAGCTCCAGGGAATTTGGTGCCCTCTTCCGGCCTTTGTGGGCACCCGCACTTAGGTGCACACCCCCCCATATGACACAGGTACATAACCGCTCCTTTTTTCTTTTTTTTAAGATGAAAAGACCATGCATGTAGTATAGTGGTACAGTGCTTGCCTATCACGTGAGGTCCTGGTTCTCTCCCCTGTAACGAAAATAATTATAATAATAATAATAAAGTGTCATGGAGACTAGGGAGAGGGACTATAGGGGAAAACGTTACAGAAAAGATGTTTATGTGGTTGATACCATAAAACAGGGCACTCAGGGGCCACGTCCCAGACTGTGGCCACATGTGGTGGAGAGGCTGTTTGTGTGATAGACTGCCAGACGGGCATCGTACTCCATAAATACAAGGTACCAGGCGAGGTGAGTGTCAGGGCCCTCTTCCTGAAGACTGTTGGGTCCTGGGACAAGAGCCCTGAGCTTGGAGGCCCAGGATAAGCTCTCCGTTTCCTGTGACTTAATGACTTTGGTGGGGATGGAACCCAGGGTCTCAGGCCCACTGAGAGCGCTCTGCCTCTGCGCCCTTCCCCCAGCTCCTCAGCCCCCACAGTCC